TACCTCTGCTTTCATCTCTTACTCTCTCCTTGGAAACTAAAAAACAAAAGCCTCATTCATCTCTACTTTAATTGCACCTTCTGAGTTTATTTCTAGATACCCAGGTCAGCTGATTGGATTAGCTAGGTAACATAACCCAGCCATTTTGCCATTATCTCTTACCAGACGAGAGGAGAAAATCCAAACTCCTTAATGCCGTATACAAAGCTCCTGGTTATCTGGCCCCCACCGTCCACCTTCCAGGGTCATTTCTCACCACTTCCTTCCCTTACGCATTTAACTGGGAACTTGCTGGAGAAAGGTCAGGGCTCATCTGTGTGTTCCGATGGTCTAGACCTCTCCTACTCACCCAAATACTTCTGGGCCAGGATATAGAAGGATGCCCAGGCCTCCGGGTTTTAGGCATGGTATAGCCTTGAGGGAATGGGTTAAAGAAGCCTGCTGTACTTTTACCACAAATTGATAAGCCAGGAAGTGAATTCAGCTGGAGAGGGTAGGCTTGACTACTTTGATCAACACGTGGAGATAAGAACTGTCAAGTGTTGGGCGGTGTCACTAGTTCACAGGTGCTTTGAAGAGACCCATACCTGGTCATCCTTCTAAACAGTTTCCAACTTGTAGCACTGGTTGGCCAGGGACTTGTAACATTCTTTCACATCATCTAAAGGGTGACTTTTAGATGCTCCTCCTACGCTGCCTAGAGCTCCTCCCTGACTGGGATGGCCGTGGGTAAAAATGAAGTTGCAGAGAAAGAGTATGTTCTCATTGGAGGCTCACTGAAAGTCATTGCAAACAAATTCTACAATAGAATATGAGGTGTTCAACCTACCCTGGCCATAGGAAGTATAATATCAGAAGTGCTTCTCCAATTCAGAATGTCTCTGTTCAGCTGTAAATCAGGGGTTGATGTTAGGAAGAGTGGTATATCTGTGCTTGGAGTGCATTTTTAAAAGGGCCCTCAGAAGGGATTTTGTGCTTATGGTATAGTTAAGCTTCTTGATTGTGGTGGTGTTTACACAAAGCTATATATGGGATAAAACTGCATAGAGCTACACACACACGCACACACACACACACACACACGAATGAATGTATGTATAAATGGTGAAATGTGAATAAGTTTACACCAATGCCAATTTTCTGGGTTTTTTTTTATTGTACTGTAGCTATGCACAATGTTAACACTTGGGGAGGCTGCGTGAAGGGTACATGGGAATCTTGCCATCTATTTCTTTGTAAATTCCTGTGAATCTATAATTATTTCTAAATAAAAAGTTTTAAAGAAGGGGGGAGGTGTCTCAGAGCATTGGAGCACTGGGTCTAAAACAATGCTTTGGGAATGGCCTTGAAACAAGAAGATCCTATGCAAAAACAATACCTTAATGTTCGGGTCCAGGGATGTTTCTGAAGAAAAGGATGAAGTTGGCTAACTTGATTGGCATATTCAAAATGGATAAAGAGCCCAAGAGGGCCTCCCACTCCCTGAAACTCTCTGTTAGCATCAAAGTGAGTCCCCTGCCCCTTTTCTGGAGACCAGCAGGTAAGGCAGGCAGGCAAGGAGGTCAGGTGTAATAAGCTTCAGGAATGGGCCCGAAAGCTCAGGAAGCTCTGGATGTCTTACATGATTTGATAACTGCCATTCTCAACCTTGTGGCCCTTACTCGACATCACTGACTGCAGCTTAATCCCATCATCCCACAATCCTTACTGAGTATCTAGGATGTGTCTGTCACTCTTCACTCTTCTAAGTACTCGGGCTATGTCTCGGAACAAAACAAAGAACCCTGCCCTGGTGGAGCTTATGTTCTAGCAGAGAGGAGGAGGCAGGAAGGGCAACAGTAACAGGTGAATTATAGAACATACTAGAAGGTGACAAAAAAGAGTCAGGTAAGGGGACCAAGAATTCAGGAGATGGTGTGGCATGTGGGAGAGTGAATGTTGACCACTTCTCTGAGTTCTTAAAGGATGTGATTGTATTGGAAATCAATTCTCTATTTGAATTTTCTTTTCCCACTACCAAATTCTCCACCCCACTATTCCTTTCTGCTTCTTCCTGATCACTCTCTCTTCTTCCTTCCACCTTTTATTTTAGCCTTCCTCTTTGCTCTTTCTTCCATTAATTTCCCCTTTCTGGAAGCCATTCTCCTAAGTGAAGTATCTCAGGAACAGAAAAACAAATACCACACGTAGACACTTATAAGTGGAAGCTGAACGATGGGTATGCATGGTCATGCAGATTGGTATAACGGACGTTGGAGACTCAGCAGGGGGCAGGGTGGAAGGAGGGTGAGAGATCAAAAATTATCTATCAGGTACAATATATACTATTCAGGTGACACATACACTAAGAGCCTTGACTTCATGACTATACAATTCATTCATGTATCAAAAAACCACTTGGGCCCCTAAACCTATTGAAATAAAATGACAATAATAAAAACAATTGCACAAAATAAGCTGGAAATATTTGGGTAAGAATTACAAGATTTAACTGAAATATTTGTGCGTAACCTTGTTTATTGCATTGATAAATCTGCAAAAAGAAATTATACACAAATAGAAGTAGACCTATAAAGATTACATCAAAATGGTGACTTATGAGGGTAACGGCAAACTTGGAATATAGCATTTTATTTATTTATTTGTTTGTTTATTTGAGACAGGGTCTTGCTATGTTGCTCAGGCTGGACTCCAACTCCTGGGCTCAAGCAATCCTCTAGCCTCAGCCTCCCCAGTAGCTGAGACTGCAGGTGTGCACCACCATGCCGGGCTCATTTTTTATTATATTTAATAGTTTTATTCAGAAAGGACACAACTGAGTAGTTTAAAAGGCAACTTTACATTTATTTAAAAATATGTGCAAATATTTCCAAATGTACATGATTTGATTTTTTTTCATTTATGGAAACTCATATACAATATTGAAATCTTATTCTACAGGTTAAAAATATAACAAAAGACAGCTTTAAAGTAAAATTTCCGTTGACAATACAGAATTAAAAGTATGCTTCCTATTGACAAAATGCATAGATGAGACAGTATTCTAGAGTGTGCTTGAGAACAAATTAAACTCTAGCCTTGTTGTAAAATGTAACTTTGGTATTTCCTTTAAAAAAAATGAGCAGTACATATTGCCTTTATTGAACAGAGGTATTCATTCATTTTCTGCAAGACTATTACATACTCTTCAGATATATGATTTGTTGCCATTATATTAATAAGGAGGTATTGCTATAAATAAACAGCAATATAATCCTGGTTATGCTGTGACCAGATATCAAACAAATTGATATGGTCACTGATCATATTCCTTCAGAAGTAGATACACTTTTTCTGATTATATTTAGTAAGAAAAACAGAGATAAGACATTCTACCTTTGGACAGGGCCTACTACAGAACTTGAGTATGAGTGGATTTTGGTATATGTGGGGGTCCTGGAACCAATCCCCTGAATATACCAAGAGTAGTTCTCAATCAAGCAAGACATTGTCTCGATTGGAGACCTGGGTATTTATTTCTCTCTAGAATGAAATACTTCATTTGCTCTAGTGTGACATATATGGAAATAGTCCATTAAGACCAAAGCCTATATGTTATACATAATACCTAGAAAACTGTTGGCACTCAGAAAAGATTAAGTAAAAATGAAAGATCTAAAATAAAATATGGACTTTTTAAAAATCTATGTATTTTCAATATATATTCCAAATCAATTTTTTATATGATGTTCAGATAGAATGCTTTGTCTTTAAAAACTTCATTTTAAACATAGACTCCTATAGGCAGTTCACTTTTAGATTTTTTTTGAAAAGCGATCAGAGTTCAGTTAAAGATTACATACTGTTAAATTCTATTTTATTTATTTATTTTTCTTGGTACTTTAATGGATGCAAACATACTACCAAAATTTTAGGGAAAAAATATAAACTCATTTTAATCATAATGGTCTTATAAACATACCAAATTTTTTGTGCTCAGAACAGTGCGGTTTTTGTATCAGATTCTAAATAGACCATAGCTGTATATACCTCCATGCAACGATCATTTCTATAGACTAAGGTAAATTAAAACTATATATATATTTTTTTATTATTCCAGGGTTTTGTGAGGGTACAAACATTATAGTTACACTTTATGTCTTTGCCTCACTAAAACTATATTTTTAAAGTAGAAATAATCTGTCATATATTTTCTTTGATCTCAACTGTGATTCATGATTATATCAAAACGTGATTTCTATAAACATGAAAATCTTATCGATTCACTTCTCTACATCAGTGTTTCTAAAATATATCAGCCTAGTTCTGTAGCTTTTAAGTAAACCAGTTCCAGGATCAAAGAGATCCTGAATTCTAGTTACATATCTGGTTACTGTATAATAACACTTCATTATTAAGTACTAACCAAACTTGCATTTTAAAAACTTTTGAATTATTTCCCAAAAGTGATTTTTAAAGGTTTTTGTTGATGAATGCATTAATAATTACATTTCAGCATTTACTGAATGTGATCTTACACTGTGATCAGGGCAGCTCATGGCTATCAAGTTCTGTCAAAAACTGATTTTCTCTACGGTTAGTCATTCCTGACTCACCTGACCACAGAGGCTGTTGGGTCAGCACTCACTTCAGCTAAACAGAGACACACCACTACCCACATGAACACTGTCAGGAAATCTGTCGTGAGGGATCAACGGCATATTAAAACATCAGCAGATCTGGACATTGCTAAATCGCCTGAATAATTCTCCTCACCATTTTGCACATTTTAGAAGTAAGCTGTTTATTTTATAAATAAAGTGTAGGAACAATTTTAGTGCTTCTCTTTCAATGGCTAAGGGGTTAAAAAAAAATCAAAGATTTAAAAAAATGTTGTAGAAAAAGAATGAGTGTTTCAGATCTGAAGAAATAGTCAATATAGAAAATGTTTGCATAGAATGATATTGAGGGGTCAATTTTGTCTTGCAGTCCTTGCTCATAGAGACCTCCTGAGCCCACTTTCAGGAAGCAAGTGTACGCATAGCCTGTGGAAGCAAGGGGAAACAAAGTGTTGATGCAACTGAATTCTCCTCAAGTCTACATTATTTTTGTAACGAATATGTTTTTATAGTATTGGTTGCTTACTTTTACTCATCTTAGGTGCATATCATCACAATAGAACTAGGGTAAAAACTTAATTTTGTACCTCATCATACTTTAATGGGATTTATTTAGAAGCAATGATTACTATTTATTGAGCACTTACTATGTACAAGACACTGTTCTTGTTAATTTACATGCATCCTTTAATTTTCATAACTCTGTGGTATTATTCCTACATATGATAAAGATATGAAAATTAAGACAGGGTAAGTAATTCGCACTGGGCTGCACAGCCAGTAAGTAGCAGAACCAGTACAAGCATCCAGGTCTGTCTGGTCCTAAAGTACATGCCCTTCAAACCACTGTGCTATACTGCTTCACCATCTGTAGCAACCCTATTTGAATGATTCTTTTATGTGGCAATCAACAAATATTCTATAATGTGGCAGCTTCTTAAGTTCTAATTTTGATATATGAGTTTTTACTCAAATTAAGCCTATCCTATATTCATAGAGTCACAAACTACTAAAGCTGAAAGGATTTCTCAGCTCAGAAATGATTTTCCCAGGCTCTCTAAACTGGTAAGCTAAGATGCCTGGCCTGTGATTTTCACTCTAGCAATATATTTCCCCCACAAAAATCTCTGCCTGTCACCCCTACTGCATGATTTTACCACAGGGGGGTTGAATTTTTTCTCTTCAACATTTTTATGAGGACCTGGAAAAAGGCAGAGAAGCCATCCTTATCAGATTTGCATATGACACCAATGTGGCTGGAGGAGGGAGTCCATGTGTTGGATGGTAGATTCAAAAAACAAAACTATGTCAATAAACTGGAACAAACAAGATATGATCTGCAGAAGTATGTGCAGTCCTGCATTAGGGTCAAAAACCAATTAAATAAGTATAAATGGGAAGCCCTGCTGGACTATAGTTTGTGCAAAAACGCCCGAGTCTTTAGTTGACCCCTGCTCAATAGAAGCCAAGATTTTGATGTAGCTATTATGAAAGCAAACACATTTTTAATTTGATGAGATCAAGGAAGGTCATGGTTGCATAATCCCCATGCTGGCCTGACCACACTGGAATTTTGTGTCCCCGTCTTGGCCAAAGAAGCATTGAAAAACCGCACATCTATGAGGAATGCCAGAAGGTACTAGAAGAGTCTTGTCTGGAAGAGATTCTGGCGGAGACACGAGAGCTGTGTTCAAATATTTGAAGGGCTACTCAGTGGAAAGGGTTGTGTTGACAAAGAAGGCAGATTGAGCTCAGTTTCACTAGGTGGTTATTACAGAAAGGCCAAATTCAGTTTTGTAAGCACAACTAACATTTATAGTCCATGTAACAAACTCCCTTGAGAAGTCACTAGAATGTCTAGAAATGGTCACATGAAAGCTAAGTGAGCATCCATCAGGGATGGCATAGAAGGGATTTCTGCAGGGACTAGGATATTGTACTACTTGATTTCTAAGAAATCGTTCAACTTTAAACCATACACCTTTTCCCTATCCATGGCCTTGGAAGAGAACTACGTGGAGGCTTAAGTATAAAATTAGGACCTGTGTGTTAGCTGCTGCCAGTGGCTGATCATCCTATATGCCCAGGGCCAAAGGTCCCCAAGTGCTTAATTTCTTCAAGGGAGAATTCTTGTTTTCCATTTTCCCCTTCTATGAAGCCACCCTTTTGGTATTTTTTGGAATTATTTTCCCTGACAGTTCTTAATCAGATATATTCACTATATACATTACCCTATTTATTCAAGATATAATCCAAATTATTTCCTTCAGAAGAAAATAATCATACCTCATCCTGGACATCAAGTTCTTCTTCAATCAGCTCTGCTTCCATTAATTCAAGATGATCTTTACAGTCTTGAATGAGGGTGATCTTAAAAAAGAAAGCACAGAGTGGAAATACCATATAATAGCATCAACCCACTGGGTACTCCACTGAAAACAATTTGAAGCTTTGCTGGTGCCTCTCAACATGCTTTACATACTTCAGAGTCCTCTTCAGCTTTCTCATTCTTTTATATTTCCCACCTCAGAACTTTCCCTGTATCATTTGTTCACATTTAAATGTGAACTGGTATAATTCTCCATTGTCTAAACTCCTTTTCAGCTCTCCAACCTCTGAAGGGGAGGCCTCTTAACACGTCACCCCTTCTGCCTAAATGGTTCAGCATTCGGTGGTGCTTCTCTTTCAATGGCCAAGCTAAGAGCACTTAGCACAGCATTGAGCATGCAGTGAGTGCCCAGTGGAGGGCTTGTGACTGGTGACAATAAACAGTCCCAAATTGAATGGGGTGGAAATTAAATTCATTGTAGATGGAAACCAACGTCTATGGATCGAGTTGGTTGTTCAGGAAAGTTCTGCTTTTTAGGGGTAGTATGTAATTTAATCTTCTACACAGAGGCAGCCAACAATTTTGGCTTTGTCATATGCTAAAATTTCCATAGCATCTCCAAATGTGTATCTAGGCTAGAATGATATTTTGAAGTTCTATTTAGCTAATTTTCATCTCAAAAATAACCTAATTCTCTTTGCTAGTGTGGAAATGAATTAGAGGATTAAGTCCCTGTGCAAATGGTCTTGACATAATGGGAAAGATAGAGGCTGGGTGTAACTACAAGTTGGGGCTGTCCTGGGGTAGTCCTGCGATGGTAAAATAAAGGGATATGGAGAGGGTCGTATTGCTGCAGCCACAATATCCATAATACACAGTGACACTTCCGGAAGGAAAAGAAGGTACCACAGGTCAAGCAAGGTATATCATCATTTACCACACATCTACCACATGGAGGGCTTTGTGCTAGACCCTGAGGAGATGCAGAAGTATAAGGTTCCCGATCTCACAGGCCACCAGTAATGCTCAACACACTATCCGGTGAACCAGTGAGTATATAATACAACCATTCACTTATACTCAGTCTAATATTTAGTCAGGTCAAAAAAAAAAAAAAAATCCATCCAAGCACTGGGTGTGGTGGCGCATGCCTGTAATCCCAGCTACTCGGGAGGCTGAGGTGAGAGGATCACTTGAGCCCAGGAGTTAAAGACCAGCCTGGGCAACAGAGTGAAACCCTGTCTCAAATTTTAAATAAATAAATCCCAGCCACTCACAATACCTCAATACTGCAAACAAGATTGAGTCTAACCTAGTAGGTACACTCTTGGTTAGTGGTCTTTACGACTTTCACAGCCTAAGATCTTAGATAAGAATGGGTGTAAACAAATAATAAATATTTTCATGTTAAAAAAGAACTTTATACCTTAGCTCTGTTTTACCTTTTTTTTTTTTTTTTTTGGTGAGACAGAGTCTCATTCTGTCACCCTGGGTAGAGTGCTGTGGTATAATCATAGCTCACAGCAACCTCAACCTCCTGGGCTCAAGCGATCCTCTTGCCTCAGCCTTCTGAGTAGCTGGGAACTACAGGCTCAAGCCATGACACCTGGCTAATTTTTCTATTTTTAGTAGAGATGGGGTCTCGCTCTTGCTTAGGCTGGTCTCAAACTCCTGAGCTCAAGCAATCCTCCCGCCTTGGCTTCCCAGAGTGCTAGGATTATAGGCATGAGCCACCGCACCTAGCCTCAAAAGAAAATTTTTTTAAAAAAAAGAAAGAAAAAAGTTTTTGAGTTTTCAAAGACAAGTAGCTTGCATGAAGGTTTTCTTTTTCTCTTTTTTAGATTTGTGATTTTACTACTTTTTTCCTTTTTCATATTTAAGATCCACACCTTGGTACTTAGGGCTAGTCTGTTCCCCAGGAGCATTAAGCAGAACAGTCTTTCCACTAACAGTATCTGAAAAGGATAATGTAATACTGTTTTCTAAATTAGCTTTACTTCAACCATCAACTGCCAATCTACAATAAGGATCTACCTATTCTAATTTTTTAAAAATAGAAGCAATTTGGCCAGGCGCAGTGGCTCATGCCTGTAATCCTACCTCTCTGGGAGGCCGAGGCAAGCGGATTGTTTGAGCTCAGGAGTTCGAAACCAGCCTGAGCAAGAGCGAGACCCCGTCTCTACTAAAAATAGAAAGAAATTAATCAGACAACTAAAAATATATAGAAAAAATTAGCCGGGCATGGTGGCACATGCCTGTAGTCCCAGCTACTCGGGAGGCTGAGGCAGGAGGATCGCTTGAGCCCAGAAGTTTGAGGTTGCTGTGAGCTAGGCTAACGCCACGGCACTCTAGCCTGGGCAACACAGTGAGACTCTGTCTCAAAAAAAAAAAAAAATAGAAGCAATTTAAAATATAATAATAATAAACATAATATAATAATGGTCACTGGAATCATTATATTGTTATTATTATATTTTGATATGTATTTGTTTTAGTTTCCCAAATTCACTGTGAGAGAGTAATTGACAGGAAATTGACAAAATAAGACCTATGGAAAATCAGGATCTATTCTATTTTGTGAGGACAAATTAACCTTGGGATTATTCGTAGCTTTAATTTTTTTTCTTCTTCTTCGAAGATCACTTATGGCCTGATCAATCCTATTTAAAGACATTTATAATTCAAGGGTTTCCAGGTTACTAAGATTTAAGTTGCATTCATGCATACAAATCACAGAAGATCCAAGATTCAGTGCTATATTCTATTTTTTTTTTTGAGACAGGGTCTCACTCTGTTGCCCAGGCTGGAGTGCAGTGGTGAGATCATAACTCACTGCAACCTCCAACTCCTGGGCTCCAGTGATCCTCCTGCCTCAGCCTCCCAAGTAGCTGGAACTACACGTGTGTACCACCATACCTGGCTAATTTTTTTCTATTTTTTGTAGAGATGGAGTCTTGCTATTTTGCACAGGCTAGTCTCAAACTCCCGGTCTCAAGTGATCTTTCCACCTTGGCCTCCCAGAGTGCTAGGATTGTAAGCATGAGCCACCACACCTGGCTTCAGCGCTAAATTCTAAAAAGGCACTATAGCTAATGCCCACTTTTATTAGTAAACTCACACATCATAGAACTATTATGTACTGAATACTACCAGGTACTTTCCTATAAACTATCTTATTTAGTCTTCACATCTATCCAGCAAGGTGAATGTTTTTTACTCCCATATTCCTGAAGAAAAAACTGAGGCTCCAAGAAGTTATGCAGATAACCTAAAATCCAACAACTAGGCTGGGATTCAAGCCTAGATTTGTGTAATTTTTGCCATTTACAGAAATCATGATAGTTTAGGAAAGACATATACATAGAAAGTTTAACTATTTACCGTTTCTAAAATGGAATCTTGACCCTCTTGGGATTTCACCTGGTTCTGTAGATAGAGTATAGCATCGTGGACAGTCAAAAAGAATGTGTCCTTTCTAATGTTATCATCAAAGAATCCACACCGCTCCAGCTTTTCTATCACATGATCTTCAAAAGAAAGAAAATATTTAGTCTCTAGGAAAAGATATTTTTGTAGCATCAACCAATACTAAGGTTTTGTAGCTCCTCCTTTTAATTTTTTTTTTTTTTTTTTTGTCTCATTTCCAAATGTGACCTTGCTCTAGACTGAGTTTCTTTTCCAGTAGCACACAGAATGGTTATCTCATAATGGTGTAGTCAGCCTTGGTGCCCAACCATGTTCCATTTGCCGGGCCGGTGTACCTATCCTCCAGTGGCTGTGTTGCTGGCTGCTGATGGTTCATAGCTGTGCCCTTCTCTGGAGAATTTCTCTCTTGGCTCTGCTTCTAGAGAACTCAGCCTAAGCACTAGCACCTCCCTATACATGTACATTCATGCACTGACACAGCCTCACGCTCTGGAGAGCCCTCATACTCTAAGGGGCCCCAGTCATCTCCAGCTCTGCTCCGCTCATAGTGTTACCCCCATGGGTCTGGCACCATTGTCAGGACATATGTTCCCGTGCATTATCAGGTCTGTGGCACAAATTGGAAGAAATACCTTTCTGGGTCCAAAAATGTTCTCAGAGTCATTGCTTAATGTGTACAGAGTTCCTGTTTCTGGTGATAAAAAATTTTGGAAATAGATCACAGGCAATGATTGTACAACATTGTGAATATAATTAATGCCACTGAATTAATAATACACTTAAAAGTGACTAAAATGGCAAATTTTATGTTACCCTATACCACAATTAAAAAAATAGTTTAAAAATATGGGGGAGGACACTTATTCTGTCTTCTGGAATGAAGTGTTGCCCAATTCTAGAATTGCAAATAAAGCCCATTGATATCTTTAAATGTGTTGTATTTTGACAGATCTGGCCACCACCAAGGGGCCTGAAGGAGACTGCTGACAACCCCAGGACCCCTTGAGGAACACAGGAAAAGGCCCCACTAACCTCTTGAAGGGGCACTGTGAGTTCCTCATGGAGCCCCAAGTGTCCTGAGTCCCTCTCAGGTCTGAGTTCTGCTCTTTTTTGCATTTGCACACCCTGATCTATGGCTTTTGGGACACCAAGTGTTAGTTTGCTCTGTGAGACAGCGTTTTACCTTGGGGTGCTAAGGTTGGTTTGTGCTGTGGCAGGGCACATCCTTTGCATTTGCTGTGACCGAGTCACTGGCAGAAAAGGCTACAGTTCTAAAGGTAGCTGACAGCAGTTGCAGTAAGTAGTTATTACCGCAGGGGGCTGGCTTTCAGAATTTGCAGGTATGTGGATTCTTTTTTCTTGCACACTTAGGTAAGGGAGGACTCAGGTGTCTGACTGGGTCAGACAGAAACTGGTAAATCATTGGCCAAGTTGGTCAAGGAGATCTCTGAGCCAGAGTGTCTCAGCTCTGAGAAACCCACAAGCCAGCATAAAAATGGGATTCCTAATTTCTAAGGATCTGAGATCACTTTCTGGTAGACCTGCCTCTCCTTGTATAAGATTTCTGGCCCTAGGAGCTACAGATATTTACAAAAGTGGCTTACTAAACCTAATTCAGAATTACAACGGCCATTACGTGGAATAGTCCAGATGAACAAGAACATTCATCTAAGAAGTGCACTTGAATCCCTAGCCTCCCGAATTAGGCAAAGAGAAGGGGATTCTTACTGGCATTCAGAAGGCTCAAAGAGACAACAGGATTCTAAAATAGTCCCAGCTACTTGGGGGGCTGAGGAGGGAGGATCATTTGAGCCGAGGAGTCCCGGCTGCAGTGAGCTATGATCATGCCTGCACTCCAGCCTGGGGCAACATAGAGACCACATCTCTTAAAAATAAAATAAAATAGCCTTTTTAAAAGATTCATTGTGAAGAGCTAATGAAAAGCTAGAAATGCAAGATATCCCCCATACCAAGGATGGTAAAACTGACTCCTGCTGTTTCCTTCTATCCTACTTTGCCTGAATCTTCACAGTCTACTAACTCTGTCTAAATTGCCTTTCTTCTCTACAAAAACAGTTAAACAGTTTCCTTATACAATAGAACTACCTGAAAATTCAGGAAATAATCTCTGAGTGACTTAACACTCCTTGAACAAAAATGAAACTCTGGGAATTTTTTTTTTCCAAATTTCCAAAACCTGGGGAAGATATTCAAAGGTTTTCTGAAGAATTCAGGGCCTTCATTGGAACTTACAAAATCAGAATACTTGATCTCTACCAATTAACACACATGTTTGTGGGAACTGGGGAAAGCCCAAAAATGGGTAAAGAAGGCAGAATATATTACCCAACAAGCCCTACCTCATCCACTTATGGGCCTGGCAAAGCCTGAAAGATTGAAAATGACCCCTTTGAAAGCCATTTCCAAAGTGTTTCAGCTCCATGGCAACCAACAACCGAGAATGACTTTTAGGTCTGCCCCAGGCACTTCTCCAACAAGTGACCCCTAAAATAACAATTTCTAAAAGTGTGTTGCCATTTGTGCAAACTACCAGGACACTAGAAAAGGGACTGCCCCCAAAGATTTTGAGGAAAGCCCTCCAAAACAGACTGTCACCCCCTGATAATAATCTCTATGTTAACCACCAGGACTGATGGGCTTTGAGGGAAGCTCCAGTAAGTTTCTACCAGTTATTCTTTGTCCTGGTCATTAAAGAGCCCTACCCCCCCACCCCATGTCAGTAGTCTAATTAATCCATTAAATATCTCTGCCTTGAATTTGGTAATCCAATTAAGAAACAAGTAAATTGAAAAGACTACCTATCAAACAAATGGCTCCAAAATAACAACTTTCTGACATCTAGCTAGCTATTTCGAAACTCTTTGTGAAAGGAATTTACATTTATAAAGGAAATTTCCACTTGTAAGGACTTCTCCCTCTCAGTACCTAAACCACTAGAAACTTTTACAATGGGGAAGACATTGACTTAAAGTTCCGTTTTTGTTTCTTGAGATGGGAGTCTCTCTATGTTGTTCAGGCTAGTCTCAAATTCCTGGGTTCAAGTGATCCTCTAGGACTGCAGTCCCCAACACCCAGGCCTTGGACCTGTATGTCATAGCCTGTTAGGAACCGAGCCACACAGCAGGAGGAGAGCAGCGGGAAAGCAAGTGCAGTTTCATCTGTACTTAACAGCGGCTCCTATCGCTTGCATCACCTCCTGAGCTCCGCCTCCTGTCAAATCAGCAGCAGCATTAGATTCTCATAGGAGCACGAACCCTACTGTGAACTGCTGGTGCGAGGGCTCCGGGGTGCACGCTCCTTATGAGAATCTAATGCCTGATGATCTGCGGTGGAGCTGACGTGGTGATGCGAGCGCTCAGGAGTTGCTGCAAATGTAATAAACGTACTGTGCTTGAATCATCCCGGAACCATTCCCTGCACCCTCCCCACCCCCATCCATGGAAAAACTGTCTTCCATGAAACCGGTCCCTGGTGCCAAGAAGGTTGGGGACTGCTGCTTTAGGAGGCTGATCCTACCTCAGACCGCTACTTAGTTAAGAAAAGAAAAACTCAAAGAAATTCATGATAATGAGGAAGACACCAAAACCCATAAATGACATACTGAGATTAGAAACCGAAAATGATGCTAGCTGAGAGTAGCACTAAGGCCTAAGTTTTGGTCACACTCTCACCTAGGTTGACCTAGGTTGAGAGTATGACCAAAAGGGAGGAATTGTTAAATAAAAATTATAGAGGCCATTGTTTTGGACTAAGCTCTTGCTCTGGGCCCCAATGGACCAGACTAAAAATCAAAATAGAGTCACCCATGCTAAATAGTTGAGAAATCAGGGGAGACAGAGAATAGCCAACTTTCCGAACAGACCAATTTAAACCTTCAGTTGGCATGATAATGAAGTTCCCTCTGCTGTAATCATTACATAAAAAAGGTAGCCTGACCTGACTAATGTTAATCAGTTATTTTCCCTATTGTTCTCTCTCCCTGTCCAGACTTACAAGAAAAGTAACTTTGAAAGGACTGACATAGTCTTTGTTCTTTGCTTTTGCTTTCTACAGCGCTTCTCTGTCTATAAGACCAACCTCTTCTGCTTAGCTCATTGCAACACTTAATCTGTTTTATGGAGTGAAGCATTGCCTGATTCTAGAATCACAAGTAAAGACAATTGAGATCTTTAAAAGAAAAAATAGGCCGTCAGACATTATGTGCCCACATTCTAAGGTAGGAGAAAGGGCTTAGGTGAAGGTCTTACAGGTAGATATGTAGGTATGTATTTACCTTGAAGTGATGCAAAGTACACATTCACATCGATTCTTTGGAATTCTTTGACAATCTAAAAATAAAAAAGAGTTTGCAAAAATGAATAACTTTATCTGCCCATAATTCAGTAGCATTCAGTTACTTGTTTGGGGGAAATACTTTCATGGTTAATCAGGACTTTGAGGAAAGTTAATTACTGGAAAGCCGTAAGTCAACCTACAGTAATGGTATGATTAGGGATGAAAAGCCCCTATCTCAAAAGATGGCAACATTCAGTGCTCACTAGCACAGCACTCTATAGCACAGAGGTGCTGAATAAATATTTGTGGAAGAAAACAAGGGAGTGTAAGAGGCTTCCCAATATAGCCTCTGCTGATTAGAGAAAAGAGCTTGAGTTTATATCTTTGAGTGAAGACATGTGGGTGTGGATATGATCACCAAATTCAGAATGTAAAAACTGACCCCAAAATCAAGGCCTCTGTTTTGAATGTATCAATGTCAGTATCCTGATTGTGATTTTATACTATAGTTTTACAAGATGTTACTAATTGCTTGGGAGAAATTGGGTAAAAATACATAGGATCTCTTATTTTATTTTATTTTATTTTAAATAGGGTCTCACTCTGTCACCCAGGCTGAAGTGCAATAGTGAAATCACAGCTCACAGCAGCCTCAAACTCCTGGGCTCAAGTGATCCTCCTGCCTCAGCCTCCCCAGTAGCTGGGACTACAGGCACATGCCACCACGCTCAGCTAATTTTTTTATTTTTTAAATTTTTTGTAGAGATGAGGTCTCACTATGTTGCCCAGGCTGGTCTTGAAATCCCAGACTCAAGTGATCCTCCCACCTCAGCCTCCCAAAGTGCTGGGATTATAGGTGTGAGCCATTGCACCCAGCCTATTCTTTACAACTACATGTGGATTTACAATTATCTCAGAATAAAAGGTTAATTTTTAAAAGTTAAGACACAAGACTTATGGGCAATAATAAAATAGAACTTGAAATTTGTGAAGGAAAACAAATCAAGACCTCTATTCTAGTATAAAGAATCTTCTTTAGTTTTCATAGTTGTCATTATAATATTTGAAAGCAAATATTTGTTAAGTGTGGGAAATACTCTGACATTAAATATGTTAAGACTCTCCCCAAAAATAATTCATTAAACTCTTTGGCCAATACAATCTACAATGGGTCTAAGCCAATGCCTATAGTAAAACGCACAACAAAGAACAAGAGTATGTTTTCAAATGAGCTAATAACCAGATCTGCTAAGAGAACTGGAACAGAACCTATCAGCATATTCTCACACTCTTTTGCCAAGTATGAGTACTTCTCTACCCTGCATACCTAGTACACACATCCTGGAATCATTTCCTGCCCTTACAGAGGTAGCCAAGAAGCCCCCACCTAAGCTAAACGTCAGTTAGGAATCTGTTTCATATTATTACATCTGATTGCTGGTGCCTTGAACCTCCTTACTTTTCTGCCTGACTCCCTCCTACCTACCTGAAGTTTCACCTAAATTTGGCACTTCAGGTGATACCCTGTCTAATCTGCATTGGAACACTTAATACAGTTGTTATTTATAAGATTACTAAATGTTTGCCTTCCCCTCTAGACTGCTTAGTCCCACGAGGGCAGAAACTATGGCGACTTCATCACTAGTTTCTTGTACCTGGCAGAGTGCTTAGCACATATTAGGCATTTCACATCTATTGTTGAAAGAATTAATGAACTTGAGCTTGCATAACTGGTTTCTGATATCATGAATGTTTCTATCTTGCATGCTTCTCAACTTCTGCTTTGACTTCTAGATGCCTGACCTGCTTCCTACTCTACCCTCTTAATAATGATGGGTTTTTCCAGTCCTACAATGTACCTGGTGTTCCTTTTCCTAGTGGCATTTGCATAACAAATAGAAATGTAATACTTAACACAAAATTTGCCCACTTTTTCTCCTCTTCATGTTCCATGTTACATTCTCAGAACAATAAAACATAATAAATATTAATATTTGCTGAGGGGTATCTGTGTGCCAGGTAGTTTCTAAACTCCTTATATCTGTGAGTTTCTTTAGTCCTCATAACAACCCTATGAAGTAGGTACCCTCATTACCTCCATATTACAGGTGAAGAAACTGAGGTACAGACAGATTAAGCAACTTGTCCACGGTCACTCTGCTAGTAAGTGGTGGAGCCAGGATCTCCCCCAGGTAGTCTGGTTCCAGAGCCTGTGCTTTAAAATATTACACTCGATTGCAAAAACATTCACCTAGAAAAATTACAGAGCTCATGCATTCACTTTTCTGCAAGACTGGATAACCCATTTCACTTCACTATTGCCAAAGCTCCAGATCTATAATTCAGAAAACCAGAATCTTACCACCCGCAATGACCTCACTCCAACAACGTCCAGGAAGGATATAGCTCCACAATCAAGCACGAGGCTATGGATTGGCACTTTGGGAACATTCACTTTGACTGGAAGCTCAGAGTTCCAATCCACTTGAATCTCTATTTCCTTGGTTGGGATATCAAGTTCTTCTGGATCTTCGATATCTTCGTCAGGCTCGAAAGCATTATTCGGTGTACCAGCATCGCTTATGATGCCATTCTAAACAAAGAAGACAGTGCCAACTTAGTTGCCAGGGATTCGAAATGTCTTTTCAACCATTCATCTCAAATTATTTAAGAGTCCTACACACATTGTTCCTTAGCAAGCAAAACATCAAGGGGACGAACTCTTAAGGAATGAGTTTTATCTCAGCCCTAACTTTGATGTTCTCTAGGAAGAAAAATGGAAGCACAGAGGAGCCAGGAAACTCTTGATTTCTGGAAGATAGTGGAACTTTGCCAAGAAATATATTTGCAGCAGTTTCTGAGTAAAAGTTAGTAGCTCTAAGAGTTTATAAACTTACTGCCTTCTATTGTAATTTTCTGGCAGTGAATTTATACTTATTTTGTTCCTTTCAGTAAAATTAAGTTATAAAAGAAATAATACAGACGCTATTCATGATGGGGGAAAAAAAATATGCTCTGTGTTTCCAGGGAGCCCTGCTGTTTTCATTTTATTCTCTCTCATTCCCTGTTGCCTACAAGAACAGCTCAGCTGTTCTCTGACATACATAAGACATCTGCTTGTACACATCTGGATACCAAAGGGGATAGATTTAATTTTAGGCCATCTAACTGCTTTCATCAGAGACAGGACAGAATTTAAGGGGGAAAAGAAAGACGGCTCACCTTTGTTGCCCTTAATTGTCCATTTTTTATGAGTTTCTGTATTTTCCTCAGTGCTTTCAACCTCTTATTATATACTCTAATGGCATCAAATCCAACCTTTGGAAATAAATGTCAAGTTACTTAAAATGCCTGTTTCCTAATGCTTATCAATGGCAATTGTTACCTGGAAATGTTACTTCTCAAAGGGTATATTCCTTGAGACATCCAGCAAAAAAAAAAAAAAATGCAAGGTCTGATGGAATAGATCTTCCTCCACTATCAAGCCACCCTACCCCCTCCCAGAGACTCAGGGAAGAGAATAGCATCCTAAAGGCTCCAAGACAATAAAAGACAAAACAGCAAAAATAACCTTTAAGGCTGTGCTTTCCAAATTTCCCTGACATCACAGAGCCATTTTGTTATTGCAAAATCTATAAACATTCCTCCAAACCAGTTTGTCCTGAAAATCATGTAGGAAAACTCTGATCTCGAGGCAAACTCCAAGTTTGAAACACAGCATGGTATTCAAGACCAGAATTTCCTGCTTATATATTCCACTACTAGTTTTTACTCTTTGTTCCAACTGGGTGACCCTCCCCATTCTAAACAAATGGAGTTCTTAGCAAAAAGAGTGAACTTTTAACACTTACTGTCCATACTGCTTATTTGGAACTTACTCAAATTCCGCCTGGATGCTTTTGTCTGGCATAGTTATTGCTACCTGAATTTTATCATACATGTTTTTTCTTTTTCTTTCTTTCTTTCTTTCTTTTTTTTTTTTTGAAACAGGGTCTCACTCTGTTGCCTAGGCTGGAGTACAGTGGCGTGATTCGAGCTTACTGTAACCTCCAACTCCTGGCCTCAAGCGATCCTCCCACCTCAGCCTCCGAAAGTGCTGGGATTACAGGCATCAGCCTCTGTGCCCAGCTCATGTTTTCTTCTGTCCCTAAATAGATTGTAAATTATTCGAGGGCAAGGATGTTATGTTATAATTCTTAATACCCTACACAAAGGGAATAGGGGAATAGAGCCTTATTCCCAGTTGGAGTCCAGTAAATACTAGTAGAATGAATGAAGTCTCAAAGGAGGTTAGAAACCAAAGTTCTAGGGATGAAGTACTTACTGTGGACTTGATACATTTTTTAAAACCATCGACGTTGCCGTAAAAAATAGGACTAGAAAATCTAAGAATCTTCACTCCTTCAGGTTCTTCAATCTGGCATTTAAAAAAAATTGAGGTTAAACAATTTCAGGCCTCAAATATTTAATAAAATTTCAGGCTATTCGGTGTGAAGAAAAAATAAAACCTCGGGACCCCAAAATTGATTATGCCAAAGGGAGAACGGAGCCTGGGAACTGAGTTGCGAAGCACTGCCATCCTCTCCCCAGACTCAACTCCTCAGTGAGGTACCGAGGAGCTTTTTTTGAAGAATGGAGGGGCTTGGATTATGACTGAGCAGGTTTCTGTTAGTGTGCCGGGTTATCGGAGGGAGAATGGAAGCTTGGCTAGCAAAGGTGGTCTTGTTATGCACATAAAGCCTCAAGGGTAACAGCCCTCGGAGAGAACAGATGGTAAACGTTTCTGTGCAGACCTTTAAAGCTGTCAGACCCTCAGTTAATCTTTCCTCCATCGGATTAGGAGGACCTGGCTGCATTAATGGAGATTCTCTAAGGATGCAAATTTCCCCCTCATGAGACAGCTTTGCAGCATTATTTCTGCCTGCCGGCATCCGTCTCAAAATATGTCAAAGAAATGTATTTTGGGAGAAAATATTTTTGATTTTCTTCAGCCTTTCAAGATATATAGCCCCCTATAAAGCAAGCGCAGGCCAATTATAACCATAGGACTTCAGCCTGAATAAATTCTTGAACCTGAGTTCTGTTCCGCTTCACACCTGACAATCTTATCTCCACAGATGCAGACCAAGGACAAGGTAAGATCAATCACCCTCTGCCCACTCTGGGAAAACTAGTCATTGACTATTTCTTCCGCTCCCTGTTTCAATGTTCACCTTGTCTTACGTAAAATGTAATTTACTGGCACTACACTTAGAGCCCCACAAGAATGTAACTCTTTGCCTCACTGTTCACCCCCCTACCCCTCCTTTTTTTTCCTATATGACTTCTTTCCCTAAATACTGAATTCCCAACTCCTTCTGCGGAGAGCCCGGGACACAGGTGCTTCTGTGGTTTGTGCTTTTCCTGGGCGTGTCCTCAGACTTTGGCTTAATAAATCTCAATTGAGTGTGGCTCTCGTTTTCAGTCACTTATTGTTTAAGTTGTCAACAGCAAAGAGCCAGATCACAACTGCTCGGAGGAGCTGGGCAGCAGCACTCAAGCTTTCTCGAATAAAGGCTTCATCCCAGCAGGAAGGCAATAGGTTACCAAAATGCATGGACCTCCACAGTCCCATAGGAGGTCAAGCTTAGAAATGGCCTTAGAATGCAATTATTCAACCCTCTAATTTCCAGATGAAAAGACTGAGGCTCAGAATAGTGACGTGATTTGCCTCAAGTTAAAACCACTGACCCTCTTGATTTTGCTAAAATTCTTTAAAAGCAGCAAAGAAAAAAAAAGAATAGCAAAATCAAGATTTACAGGAACTGAAGCCTGTAATGTCATCTACTTATTCTTACCCTGATACACAATGCCGCACCAAAAATAGAATCCACAAATCATAGAATCATAGCAATTTTAGCCTAGCTGCTTCAGATGAGCAAACTGAGGCCCTGAGAAGCCGAGTGATGTGGGCAGGACCTCACCAAGATGGCGTCTAGAACTCAGAATCCCAAACTCAGTCTAGGGTTCCCTGCCCAGAGCCAAAAAATTCTCTAAAATGATTTTTAGGTCTTGATGGCACTTGGCTCGATGTAACAGAAAGATTGTGGAAATAAGTAGCAGCTCCTGAAATTCCAGGTTCAGTGTCCAACATTTCTTTAATGTTTAAGGTAAAATTAGACTATAACTTCCTAGGTTCACATTAAATTGTGTGTGGTTTTTTTGTTTTTTGGGGTTTTTTTTTTTGCTAAATTTATGTTTTCTTAATTTACTTTCTCTGCTTTTTCATCTTTGTTTCCCCTAGTGATCACTAAGCAATTTTATTTGCAGGCAACACAAGCTAATCAGTGGGATGTTTAATTTCTTTGTTTTTCATTTCTTGTATCATATATTATTTCTTCCAATTCCAAGGATAAAGCAAAATGTCAAATAAGGTCTTGGTGACAGAGAACTTGAAAATCTCTTGGTATAATTGAATAAAGAAAATCTTAAAGGGATTTCAGGCAATTTCATAGAAGAATTATATTGCAGAGAAATAAAATTTTGATTAAACATCTGGAAATAATCTAATTGTGTATTATTTTTAAATCCCTCCTGCAATGGTTTTACATTAAAATGATATCCAGCTAGCATAGACCAAATTCATATAAGCCATAGATGTTGGAAGGTACATTGGGTCAAAAGTTTTCATGACACTCCCCGTGAACTAATGAACTTTTCCAAAGAAGTCTCCCCCTTCAGCTACCTTGTACCTGACATGCTAAAAGAGAAATACGCAACTCCTGAAATTCCAGGCTCGTAAACCCAAGTCCAGCCAATATCTCACAAAGGCACTTACATTTTTGTAATTCTTGGTACTTTTGTAGATATCTGTGCTAGGGATGCTTCCAAGGCCATTCCATGAAGGACTAAAAAGAATAATCAAGGTCAAGATTTTTTGGGAAACAGTCAGATTTTGGAATAAAAAGTCAAAAACAAATAACAGCTACTAAGGAGCCCATCGTTCTGGTGTTTTGGACTCTGTCTCTATTGCGGATGACATTTTGCTGTTGCTAACTCTGAAATGAACAGCTGGTGTTTGTGTGGAAGTGGGGGAGAAGGAGAAACTGTGCCTCTCTTTTGATGGCTGAGAGAATTAATGAGCATCACACTTTCACGTGCACCACACGTTGCAAGATGAGCAATGAGCTTTCACACGTGTGAAATCTTATTTAAGCCCCACCATAACCCTAAAAGTTCAGCAGTAATATCCTTAGTTTCATTGCTAAGTAAAGTGAAGTTCAGAGAAGTTAGAAAAGGCCCAGAGGTAAAGGACAGCTCTGATTTAACCCCTGGGTCTTCAGTGCCTGGCTCTTATTTGTGACTTACGGTAACTTCCTGATGAAGTATCGAGAGTCTGCAGGGGATAAAATTAGTCTCTTTTTATAGAAACAGGAGGCTGGGAGGACCAGAAATAAGCCCTTCCCATCAACCAGACTGTTGATTTCCTGTTCCTGATGGAATCAGATAAATTTCCTGATTCTTCAAGTATGACTAGGGACACGCACTAAATACAATTCCTGAAGAAAGAGTATCTGTTTGGGGTAACTTTCAGCATTGTGCTCTCCGGATCAACATTATAATTACTGGAAATTAAATACTGTGCAGGGTACTGCTTTTTGTTGGCTAAAAGCCTAGTTACCAAACCGGTAGCTAAATTCTGCCACCAGTTTTTGCTTGGCTCACTGTGTTGTGCAGATTTTTAACTTAAAGCGCATAAGCTAGTCTCTCTACAAAACCCTTTTTTCCCAACCACACCTACACAAGAAAAAATAGACACTGAGGCATATACAGCATGAGAGGTAGCATCTTCTAAGGACAGTTTCTGAGTTATTTCCTAGCAGCAAGTTGGGCACTTTGGGAGCTGGCGAACTTCTTCAGGCTCCTGGGCAACCATTTCAGGGTGCCGAGGCAGAGAGCAAGCATTTTGGGTAGGCACCAGCGTGCCGGGGTAGGGAAGAAGGGCAGGAAGGAAACTGGCTGGTGGAACGGGAGAGGTGAGCTTATGCTAAGGTGGAGACATTTCCAGGTTTCTTCTTCCTTCATGCCCAAGTGCAGGCAGAGAAGGGCCCAGAAGTCTGGAAAGACAATGGCAGCACTGAGGAAGGAGAGAGGCTCTGTTCCCCTCTGGGCCCAACAAGGCATGTAGCTAAAGCCTCTCAAGAGTCAAAACAAAACCAACCAAAACACCACTTTCAGGCTCCCTCGCCTTCTATCGCTGGCTCTTTTTCATTATTTAAGTTGTGCATTTGCTGCTTTCACTCTGCATATGAGCTAATGATGTTTACCTTATGTAAGTGTGTGGCTTGTTGGATGTATGCCGTATTTGACAGATGTGAATGAATTCTGGCTATAATCAACTATTTTAGAGTTCTCCTGTTCTAGGTTATGTAACTTTTGGGTTACTAGCTTTAAAAGAAGAAAATGAACAGTAATAGATTTAGCAGCTGTGTTGTCCCAAGCCTTGGAACCAGCCTCACACACTTCTACTCATTTAAAATAAGAAACTATAGGCTGGGCACTGTGGCTCACATCTGTAATCCCAACACTTCGGGAGGCTGAGGTGGGAGGATGCCTTGAGGCCAGGAGTTTAAAACCAGCCTGCGCAACATAGTGAGACCTCATCTCTACAAAAAAATTTAAAAATTATTCATAGCTGGGCATGGTGGCTTACACCTGTAATCCCAGCTACTTGAGAGGCTGAGCCAGGAGTGGAGGGAAAAAAAATTTTTTTTTAAGAAAATTAAAATTAAATTTTTGTTGAAAAGGAGCCAAGAAATTGGAAGAGGCCTGGGAGTTGGAGCTCGTTGTGAGCTGCGATCACGCCACTGCACTCCAGCTTGGGTGACAAGGCCAGACCCTGTCTCAAAAACCAAAAACAAAATAACAAAAACAAACTAGGAAGCAATCCCAATCTTTAGCTGAACTATATATCTTTTATTCTTACCATGACTACAAGGAAAGCACAGCAATAGATCATGTGACTAAGTGCATAGATTTTGGGGTAAAATACATCTGGGTTCAAATCTTAGCTCTTCCACTTAATAGCTGTGTGACCTTAGGGGAGGTTCTTACTCTTTCTGAGCTTTAATTTTCTCACCTATATAATGAGAATAATCAGACCTATTCATAGGATTCTTCTTTTTTTTTTTGGAGACAGAGTCTTGCTCTGTCACCCCAGCTAGAGTGAAGCTATAGCTATAGCTCACTGCAGCCGCAAATTCCTGGGCTCAAGGGATCCTCCTGCCTCAGCCTCCCTAGTAGCTTGGGCTACAAGCGTGCACCACCACACCCGGCTAATTTTTTCTATTTTTACTAGAGACAGGGTCTTGCTCTTGCTCAGGGTGGTCTCCAACTTCTGACCTCAAGTCATCCTCCTGCCTCGGCCTCCCAGAGTGCTGGAATTACAGGCATGAGCCACTGTGCCTGACCTATTCATAGGGTTTTTTTGAAAGTCAAATAACATCTGTAAAGCACTCTGTGCTTAATTCATAGAAGTACTCAATGTATAGTAACTACAATGAAAGAAAGTGGTTTCACTATATTTATCAAAACGGCATAAGAAAGTTCAGGGTGTGTTGTCCTGTTTATAAAATCTGGGTTTTATATTACTCACAACTGAACTCTCAAGACCACAGTCAATAGTCCAAATATAAGGCCAGCTAGTAAACCAAGGTCCATCCCCAGAATGATGGACGCCATACATGTAAACACCCAGATAACCTAGAAAAAAATGGAAATGAAAAGAATTGTATTAATTCATGAGGCACCATCAGGTGACAGATTACCTGTAAAAATAACATCAACTATCCACACACAAATTATAGCTTTTAAAAAAATATCGTGACTTCACTGATTTCATATTTAAGTAGAAACTGGCCTTCCTAATTAAGACCAACTGTCCCGTTTATTTTTAATTTTTTTAACAGATAATATATTTGCATGGTTCAAAAGGGAATTTACACAGAAAAGGTTATATAGTGAAAACTCTTGCTCACGACCCTCTCCCTTCTCCACCCATTCCCAACCTCCCTCTCTGCCTGTATCCTCTTTTATTTCTGTGTGTGTGTCTGCACTTTCCCCAGCATTTCTATTTTGGTCTCTTTTTGACTTAACAATTTGTCTTAGAGATCTTTCTATATCAATATATAGGAAGTTTTCTCATTCTTTTTTATCAGTCAAGGTTTAAATTAGAGCAGAACTCTAAAGGACTTAGCTTCTGGTTTTTATAATTCCTCAGAATAGTTGTGAAGGTTACTTTAGTCAGAATTAAAATCATCATGGGTTTTTGTATTTTGTTTTTGTGTTGTTTTGTATTTTTTAAATTTCTTTTCTTTCTTTCTTTATTTTTGAGACAGAGTCTCACTCTGTTGCCTGGGCTAGAGTGTAGCGGCATCAGCCTAGCTCACAGCAACCTTAAACTCCTGGGCTCAAACGATCCTCCTGCCTCAGCCTCCTGAGTAGCTGGGACTACAAGCCCGAGCCACGACACTTGGCTAATTTTTTCTATTTTTAGTAGAGACAGGGTCTGTTCTTGCTGAGGCTGGTCTCGAACCTGAGCTCAAGCTATTCTCCCACCTTGGTCCCCCAGAGTGCTAGGATTACAGGGGTGAGCCACCACGCCTAGCTCTATTTTGTTTGTCCTTCTAATCTAGGGTTTTAAAAATTAGTTTGCTTTTTGGCTTCAAAAGGCCAAGGGTGTATAAATGAGATTCTTGCTGGAAACGCATTTTCCCAGAGATACAGGATCTTCACAAAATGCAGTTCGAGTGGAAGAATTTCATGGGTTGGGTTTACCCACACAATTCTGGGATTTCTGCTCTGGGATTCCCAAACTGTAAGTAAGACTTAGGAGACAGGGGAACATGATGATATGGCAGGAAGCATATCAGAACCAAATCTTATTTCAGAGAAAAATGAGTGGTGGGTGACTTACAGCATCAATCTTATTCTGCCTCCACAGCTGAGGAACGTCACACACCTGCATAAACATCCCTTTCAGGTTGGCAATTACAACAGCTGCCAAGACCGACTGCCAAGGTAGACAAGGAAGCCTGTGTTATTCAGGGGAATGGTTTTCCATGTGATGATTTTTAAATCTCCTGTTATTTCTCTGGTAGCAGAGTGGTGAAGGGAAGTTATGCGATCGATGTGTGAGGAAGCAGGGTTATACCTTTTGCAAGGGTTCCAGAAGCTTCCCCAGGGCCACAATGGCGATCATGACAATCCCAGCCGAGACGATGCCAGCAATCTGAAAGACACACACCTCCCATGAAGAGGGCTCATCCCCCTCCTGTCTTCCAGCTCGCTGGGTGTGTGAGAGCCTGTTCACAGCCTCACTTCATGCTTCCCACTTCCCCCCTTCTGTTCAATACTGTTGACAGAAATGAGAATTATTTGCTCAAACTCTATAAAACAAAAATGACATATATATATATATATATATATATATAAATATATATATATATATATATATTTGCTGTGGCAGAGAAATTAAAGAAAATCCGGAGACTGAGCCTACTAAAGTAAAGCCAGTTTGACCTGATTTCATTTGGATATATTATACCCCATCACCCTATCATTTTGCTGTCAATTCGGGAGGCCAATCTAGTTATTTTCCATGCCAGGAAACAAAGACCACCACCCTTTCCCAATAACAGACATCATGGCCGTATTCTTGGGAAATAAATCCTCTTGGCCTGTATCTGAGTCTTCTGCATTACCGACGCAGCAGCCATAACAGCAACTCTGATAACACTTCGTACTGTAGCACACGGTTCCCATAAAAGTCTCAGAGAAAATAAATTTACCCCTATAGCAAATTCAAACTGCTACATTGGCACATGGAGAGGTGGGACAGCGTCTCCTGCTTCCTCTGACGGTTCCTTAGGGGCAGGCTTTGTCCCCAGGCTGCCCAGACAGCGGCTTCAGAGTGACCATAGCAGGGGTAAAAGGAAGCTTCAGGAATTTTACCTTGGCTGGCAAAAAAAGCTCTCCTAAGATCCGTAAATAGTTAGGAGAGAGGCTGAGGGGGTGAGGACTATTCTCTGGTTTGATTAGGTGACCAAGGAATTCTCTGTTGAGACAGCTGGGGCAGGGCCAAGGTGAAGACTAGAAGCTCTGAAACAAAGGAGAAAAGGAGACAGAAAGCCAGAAGCAAAGCAGTCAGAGGAAGCCATGGGAAGGTTGTGCTGAGCACAAGCACTGCCTAGAGCAAGATGTCTGCCTTAGGGAGATGGACAGACACAGCAAATATAGCTAGAAAATTAGAGAACTTAATTGGAAAGCATTCACTCCACCTGGCAAATGAATCATTTATGTTGGGATTACAGTTGGGTCAGCCTGAGGCAATATTATGTATTTGATGTACTAAACGTCTGGCTCTCTTTTCTATGCTTTTCCTACTGTAACACCTACATGTTCCCAGTACCTTGGTGAGCTTTCCCCTCTCCTTACTAAACAGAGAAGCTGGCCGGGCGCGGTGGCTCACGCCTGTAATCCCAG